GACCCATGTGCCTTTCTAAGAGTCGGAGACGCATCAAACTATTGTAAATTTCAACTGAGTTCAGATACAGGGAAAAACCTTGGTCCTACTCCAATGTACATTGACCCTAGCAAAATAATAATGGCACCATATAGCCAAGCTAATAAGTTGGTATTTGGACAAAATTCAGGACAACAATGTTTTGCAATGAGTTTATGCTCTTTGATTTACAATAACACACAAGGAATCAATTCTGTTGATGATATTGTGTCGATGATGAATATTGGAAATCAGTTTAATTCAAGTTCACAGATTTACCCACCTTTTAAATGTGTTTGAGACTGACTATGAACTTTAATACAGTGAGAGCTACACTGATACTGTTCATCAAGAAGCTAGAATAGAAGGATATCAGTACTGTACCTCCTTAGATAGAGCCTTTCAATCACTTATATCCAAAATTTTCAACAATTTTGTCTTGACAATAGGGTGTACTGCAGTTGCTATCTATTGTATTAAAAGGCAACATGGGCTTGAAAACATGCAATTCTCATGCAAGGGATATTCATGGTGGAAGCCATCTGTCATGAAAGTGCTAAAGAATTTATTTAGGGATATGTAAATAGTTATTTTATTCTCTTAGGATCAATGTAGTGGGTGACATTTGTATCTCTTACGTAACTTGTATTCTTCACTTGTGTAATGTGTTGTGTAATTAACCTTTATTGTGTATATCAAATAGTTTTCTTCATTCTTTTCTGGCACCTTGCATCCACATGTATTTAAGGATTTGGGTGGTTACCGCATGGTGTGTGGTTTTATTTTGAGAGAGAAGGTCACTGGTGGCGAAGGTTGGAAAAGTTACAGAGAGTCATTCGGGGCACGTTTCAATCACTGAGAGTCATTCAGAAAACATTTGTCCTTTCACACGACAAAGAACTCATTTGCCGGGGGTGTATGTGTGCCGAGAAGCTGGCCGAAGATTAAAACGCAGAAGAAGAAAAGGAGAAGGTTATCTTCTGCCAAAGGGAAAGCCAGTGAAGACAAGAGGAGTGAAGGAAAAGTACGTTGGTTACCTTAAGTTGGAAACTACTGCGTAGCTGCGTTAAACGTGAGTTGCATTTGGTTTGTTAAACATGAGTCTGGGTTGTTAAAAGTGAAGATTGGTGCGTGAATCGCTGGTTTATCTGTCGTTTGTTGTTGGAACATGGTTGTTAAGAACAGGTCGAGCACAGGTCAAGCACAGGATGAGAAGGTGAACTGAACTGAACGTCAAAAAAAAAACCTACCTTTTTTTTATCTTAATAGTTATTACTCTTGTAAATAGTTTTGGTGTACTGTAGTTTAAATTATCATACTTCTGTAAATTAATCAGGATAAATAATTCAGTTCATTGTGTTGTCGTTATTGTTGGTTGCTTTATTGTTTTAATTAGGATGATAAATGTTTGTGAGCCTACGTTTAGTTGTGTTGTTGCGTGTCTTCTAGAGATTGTTTATGCTTGGGGTTTTGTCTTTGTTAGAGGGCGCCCACCTTTGTGGCGCGGGATCGTCACACCATCCTTAAGTTACTTTTGTGCTGCTTGAATTATCATCACTGATAACCTTAGTACATTATGTTCAGAGTATACATTCCCTCTGACGAAGGGCTAAAACTCGAAACGTCAGCTTTTGTAATCGTTACGGTGGCCAATTTACCATTTCAACTTTGTTGATGTATCCAAATTATTTCGTTACTCCCACCAACGCAGCCCCAAACAGTTTCTTTCAAAACTATCAGCCTTTATACTTTATAATGATACATTTGAGTAGAAAGGGGTTAAAATTAGTCAAGTTCAAAATAGCACCCTTTTACAGAGTCATGCCTGTGAAACCAGGAAGTTTAAAGTGAGTTGTGCTGTGGCTGTCTATTCACTCAGCCACTCCATAATAAAATCATGTAGTTATTGGAATTTAAACACCTTATCTAACATTTTTCAGTATGGAAAAAGGTTATATGGAAATTCATCTTTAAACAAGTATTTACTATCAAATGATTTGCCAAAAACTGTTGATGTTTGTGGAACTGAAGTAAGTTTAGATCCAAAAAGTGATTGCAGTGAAGAAATATTGTCTGATTCAGTTGACAGCAAATCAATTCTTGAAAATCTTGTAAGAAATAATAGTGAATGCACAGGGTTTTGATGTGGTTTTTAATTTTGGTATGACACATTTTTACACCCACAAAAAGGTCAAAATGTGTATTTCTTCTTGGTATTTAATGAAAGTCAAATGCCCCTTATTGAATATACTAAAACTGTAAATAGCACTGCTTCTCTTGTTGTGGCCATCAGCAATATTCAAAGATTTTCTTTTAAAAACTATGAATTATTGAACAGTAATATTGTTTCAATCTACTGATTTCTGACAACTTCCCTTGGGTGAACATTTGGCAACAAACTGTGACTCCGTACCAATAATAGATAAAAAATTCCTTCCTCCTTGCAGTCAAAGGCAAATATATTGCCTACTCAGGGTTTGTAAAAGCCTTGAAAACCGTCGAAGATGCTTAAATTTATAAATAAAAAATTCAAGGCCTTGAAAGTACTTGAATTTGAGGACTAGAGCTTGATTTTTGCAATGCTTTTTCTTTAGCAATTTTCAAGTGAAAAATTACAGTACTTTCATGGAAAAGCTGAGAAATAATATTAAATAATTTTAAAATTGCTTATGCAAACCTTTCCAAAAGTGGTCCTTCAATTTTCTAAAACTTGGCCTTCAAAGTCATTGAAAAGTCCTTGAATTTCAACCTCTGGCATCTGTAGGAACCTACTCCTATATGGTAATTTATTATTCTGATTGTTGTTTAGTATCATAACAACATTCATTACACTCCAGGAGCCAAAAATAAACACAAATAGACTTATTCATGACCAGCAATGATGTCAGTAATGATGGCAGTCCCCTTAAGATAACTCCAGATGTGTGATATTGAAAGCCTGAGTTCACGCAGCCAAGCGTCTAGTTGGTAATAGGTTAATAGGGATGTACCACTGGATGGGGTCACATTTTTAAGACTGGATTGACTTTAATGAGGTTGCATTCTCAGTAGAGTTACCATAATGCTGTCACTGGTTTTCAAGGTTTCTGAGTGGAAGAAAATTCTGGTAAGTGGGAATGTTCAGCCCAGAACTGATCATAGATACTTTTATGGGCACTTTTGAGAAGTTACTGTTGTGTTACAGGATCAAAACCTTTGGACTGAACATGTATGTTTCTTACTTGCTGGAATCTCCAGTTACCATTACTTTGTCTAAAATAAACCAGCTGGAAGGTTATAACCTTCGTTTAATGATGGTAATATGACATGAGTGGAGTCCAATTTGGACTGTAAGCATACAAGTGATTATCAAAATCTGATGAGAGTGAAGTGGCAGTTTGTTTTGTTAACCACAAATATGATTATGGACTGAACTGGATGACATGAAGTCCTGTTATTAATTAATCAAAACTATGACAAAATTTAAGAAAGAACTAGACATCGGTTATTCATTTTGATTAAAAAAAATTAAATGTGTGATATTTTTCATTTCGATATATATATATATATATTTTTACTTTTTCCTTTTTTTTTTAACAGCACATGCTTATGCTTAAAATTAAATCATTATATTTTAGGCATTTTAATTACCTTTAGACTCCAAAACCAGACACAATAGGCTTGAGCGGCCTGTGGTCATAGAAAGCTTGGTCTAGACAGCCGAGCATGAAATTAAATAATTTTGTTTATCTTCTCTTAGAGCTACTTAGCATCTGTCAGACAGTTTTTTTTTCACTTTTCTCTACAAATACTTGTAGAGACTTGCCTATGACTGCTCGCTAGACTCAGACTTGGTCAACCAACAACTCACCTGCAAAAGCAAAACAATCTCTCACTCGAAGCTCTGCCTCATCTTGGGAATATTTAAGCATCTGGGGTTTCTTAGCGTTATCACTTGTGGCTAAAAACTTCTCATACTCTTCTTTCAACTTGGCTCTATGTTCATCAATTGATTGCTTTAGTTCTTCAGATCCAGGTCCATCTGGAGGATATTTGTGACACTGTGGCATGCGATTATCATAACTGCAAAGGCATTCATGAACGTCAAAAATAGAAATATCTTCACTTGAATAACTTGAAGAGATCCATCCTGTAAGCCCAGCCAAAGGACCATCTGTACCACAGTAACAATCTCTCAAACGTTGTTCTGCTTCTTCTTGGGTATACTTGGGAGGGACACTATTAGAGGCAATAGCTTCTTGATATTCCTTTTCAATATTTTCTCTACGTGTGTAAATTTCCTCGTACGCGCTTTTATTTTGATAACTGAATTTTTCAAGACATCCTTCATCGCGTTTAATTACTGCATCATGGATGCTCTCTATGCTGAATGAAGAGTGTTGATCTCCATCAATTCTGATACGAATCAATCCATCTCCTGCAAAATTTCCCGCAAAGCAATCCCTGACTCTTCGCTGTGCAACACTCCACGAATATATTTGTTGACCATCTGGATTGGCAATGGCTTCATTCCATTCTCTTTCAACGTCAGCTCTTCTTTTATCAATCAATTCCCTCTTTCTCTCAGAACTAGGTCCATCTTTGGGGTATTTTTCCACAAACGGTGTGTTATCAAGCTTGACTAGCGCATTACGGATATCAATTATGCTGTACGTTTTAACTCGGTCAGTGCGATATCCTCCAGTTTTATCAAACTCAGCTGGTAGCGTGAGATCATAATAATTAATCCTTCCAAGCATTCCACGAGGGTATCTTCCCATGTTGCATCTCCGCAATCGATACATTGCTGTATTATGGTCGTATTTACGTGTTTCTGGTTTGCCGTAAATCATGACCTTCACACAGGCATTCACAGCTTCCCTTCCCTCAACTCCTAACAGATCACTAGTACTCGTGTTGTGACAATTTGCTTTCGCTCGAGTGCGATCACAGTCGCCCATTCTTAAAAAGTCTGCAGCAGAGTGACAGTCTATTAGCCTACTTTGACTAGTGTCGGCGACAAAGAAAGATAGGACGGTACTATGAAGGTAGATCGTGGACAAAATGTTCGTTTCGTCGTTTCGTTATGGCGTTTCGTCGTTTCGTTATGTCGAGTCGTTGTTTTTCGAGTTCGACTCGTCGAACTTCCAGTTCGTTTCGTCGTATTGTCAGTTCGATTCGTCGGCTGGCCTCTTCGACTCGTTGTTTTACGAGTCCGACTCGTCACCGGCCAAATCGGTTAGTCGTTATGTCGTTTCGTCGTTTCGTTATGTCGTTTCATCGTTTCGTTATGTCGTTTCGTTATGTCGTTTCGTCGTTTCGTTATGTCGTTTCGTCGTTTCGTTATGTCGTTTCGTCGTTTCGTTATGTCGTTTCGTCGTTTCGTTATTTCGTTATTTCGTTTCGTCGTTTCGTTATGTCGTTTCGTCGTTTCGTTATGTCGTTTCGTCGTTTTGTTATGTCGTTTCGTCGTTTCGT